ACTGCAACATTTGTAGTACTGTATTATGTATAGCAACATTCCTTACACAAATGTTTCAAGACATTTATCAGTAAAATGTAGCGCGATTTGTTTGTTGTTATTATTAATAATAATCACATTTACTTTTTTCAACGCGTATTTATCCAGTTATGCTGTATTTACGCGGCAATATTACTCGACGTTGTTGCCCCTACGGAAAAAATTAGGATGAGCACATCCTAATCCGGTTGCCACTTCGAGACAAGATTCTGTGCACATGGGATGAGTAATAAAACCTCCATGATATCGTATCCAATCAGACTTGAGATCTCCTAGAGCAAATGTATCGTACGATAAGATATTTACATCCTATTTTCTTCTATACTTGCTAATAAGAGAGTAATTCAATTCTCAGGGGTAGCGAGTCCTGATCTGGTAACGATGCGACTCCGATTGCGCGGACATTTCTTTTTACGAAGGGTGTGCTTTTTTCTTTCGCATTTGGTACGCGTAAAATTGTGATTTCAGGAAGCAGCCAATATGATATAGATTTTATGTGCTATGTAAACTTCAGCTTGAATGGTATTCACATGTCAACTTTACCAAACATTTGTCTTATTATTCGCGAGCTGTAAAAATAGTAATTCAATGGTGCCCTCCAATGGCATTTCGAATGTATCGTGCACGTAATGTTACACGAAAAACAGGTGTATGGCACTTGGGATTTAAGACTACCTAATATATTTCAGAAAACAAGTGTATTGCGCTGAAACAAAATAGAATGTTTAATACTGGTACAGGGAGTGGCATCACGGCTCAATGACGATGTCGTACAGTCTGACCGTTACTTGAGGCTCAACACCTCGGAAGAAGCTGGGTTGGGTGCAACTTTTGATTCGAATAATGCTGCCGTCAACTGGTAACGCTGCCTCCGAAATATCATCAGCTTGGAAAATTGTCGCGGTCAGTAAAATTGAGTTGACAGAAGCTGCTCGGGCATCGTAGTCGTCCTTGAACAGCTTAATGTGAACAAATCAAAATCGACCACATTATGAGTGTGTTATCGTCTGCGTAAAGAAAAATATAAGACCAACTTGCCCTGTACAGCTCGTCCAGCGTTTCGGGTGTTTCTGCGTCGATCAAATGAAGTTTCAGAATATTTGAGTTGCCATAGTTGTGCCGAGAAATCCAAATAACCCGCATGCGAATGACGGCTCCAAGCGTGTTTGCTCCGCCACTATGCTTGATTTTGTCCCTGACCTCTACACAGGTATCACGTTAGAGGCATGGTGTAATTGCTCAGAGCCACATACCTGCAAGTGTTGTGAGGACTGGCTTTCGTTTCGGTAGGCTGCCTGATTTCAGTAGCTCGCGCATCTGTTGACACGCTGTAAGCGGCTTCGGTTGTGCATCTACACTGTCGACTTATCGTTGCAAAACAATTCACACCAAACAGAGCTGTAGTCAGGATATCCTTGCAGTATATTAACCACAGTAGTGAAACTTTTACAATACCGATACCTTGTACACACTGTTTCTTCAAAGTATCGTGGACCACGGGGATTTCCGCGGTTTCCCTCTCTCGCTTCGCCTTCCCCACCATCGCGCAAATTTACAAATGGCAGTCAAGATATTATGTAGGGTGAGATCGCAGGTTCCATTCTGTTAGCACGCCTAAACAGAGACTACTGTGAGCATCCTTATTGTAGTCAGCTATTAAAGAATGTCCAGCCGTTGATCACTGGGTTATCGTAGTAACCGCACGATAATATGCCCATTATTCTACTTTTCCTATTTGTAATAGTTGAGAGCTGCTGTACTGTCTATTTCCAACTTAAATAGTCTAACTACACCACATCAGTACTGCCAAACTTTTACTTACGAGGTACTTAAGCATGGAAATAACGATATGAATGTTCAATCTGGTAGAATATTTTTATGTGACAGGACACTTTACCGAAAGTGTCCAGTAAGCTCTCTTGAGGCAACGCGTTTCGTTGTGTTCCTATTGTTAACTATATGAAATTATTTGATTCGACGATCGTTACCAGGTCACGTTTGAAAATCTGTCTAATCCATCCTTGGTACAACCTCTCGAGTAAGCACCAACCTCTCGCGGAATAATAGTGAGTTCATGGCGACGGACAGGACACTTTCAACAATAATGTCCTGAAGATATTTGGTGAAGTGTCGTGCTTCTATCTTATCAGTACGATTTTTAGAAGTCGTTGGACCCGATCTCTTTAACAAGTAAGCACTCATTGCAGATGAGCAGTGGTATATCCCACGGACACCCATGAACTATTGGCATTAGTGTGCTAAAATTAAATAAAAGGACACTTCAACCAAAGTGTCCTGCGCATTTGTTGAAGTGTCGTGTTCGATTTTAAGGAGCACATAAAAACCATTGGTTCATTCGCTATTCTTTATCTACTATCCTTTATCACTCACAGCCAACGCGCTTAAATGGTAGGCCTGTCAACTAAGGTATAACATTCGATTGCACTCTCATTCTCGAACTTACCCTCTTCCTAGCACTTTATCAATGCAGCCAATCGAAACGCTGAGTAGCGACGGTTTTGTGGTGTACCGTGGTGTACTTAGCAACGACGCTGCCAACGCTGCCCGTATCATCGCGCGCCGCTCCCACTTACCATGGACGAATGAAGATGATTCAAGTCCCCGTTTGCGTCGCGTCAGTGCAAGGGTTCCGCCAATCCCGGGTTTTCTGCTATCAATCATTCTCGAGCGATACATTCATACATTTTTCCCCGGGATGGATCAGTCCAAACTTGAATGGTGTTACCTCAAGTCTTACGCCGATGCACCTGACCAGCCGACTCACCGAGACTTCGCGGTGTCGAGGTACACTATAGATCCGATGGATGTTGCAAGTCTCCCCAGCTCTCTACTCATTGCCACGCAAGATGATACCGTTGTCTACGGTTATGGCTGGAACCACCATGTTGCATTTCAGTCCGATCAAGTTGTGATCCGTCTGAAAATGGAGACCTCCTTTTTATGCGTGGTGATTTTATTTACTCCCGCGCCGGTTATACTTGGAACAATCTCTGTATCCATACATTTCTTGGCGAGATCACTACCCGTCCCCATTTCCGCGGTCAGTTGGTCCCATGCTACGATGATAAACCCACTGTGAACGCCCACGACGGTACCTGCTACGTTTTAGGTTGCCGGTTTGTAGGCAACACAGACCATGCGCTCAGAATGCATCTGCGTAGCTGCCACAACGTGTTCATTCAGAGTTTCAGTCGGTGTGCTCGAAGCAACGATCCACGTATTGCAGCGGCCGAAGCCGAGATTATCAACTTGGCGGATGATTTCTGAGTAAAAGGTGTGCTGGCCAAGTTCGTGGCATCCTTGATTCGATGACCTCGAAAATGTGTCTTTCAAAGCGGGCATTCGAGGTTCCATCATGACCTAGCGCCCCCAAAACAGACCATTAAAAACATTGAATCAA